TTTATGTAATTTCGTTTGTAGAATCCGAATATACGTTTAACTAAAAAAAAACAACTTTTTGAGTTGTTACTGTTTTGATATGGATGTGCGATATCACTGCAATCGTTTGGAGCAAGCCACGGCGGATCGGATGCGATCGGAATCCTGGTCGGCTCTTGTTGCACAAATGCTCTTTACTTCAAAAAGTTGTTACGATTTATATTTTAAAAACATTGTTGGTAGCAGCGAAGAAGAACAAATGGTGATCGCGTTAGCACTTGCTGCTGGAAAATAAAAAGGAAACGAACGTATTAAAAAAGATCATGGGTTAATGAAATCGATTGGAAAACAGCAACAGAAAGTGATTTCAATGCATTATTTGTACGTTTAAAAAAGGATAACCACGATTTTTTTCCCAGACGCGTTCAAATAATACGAAAGAAAAATTATTGTTGGCGCGTTTTAATTTAGTGGCGAATCATCGTTAATTTAGTAGATGATACGTTTTAATTGTTCGTTAAAACTACTACGGTAATTTAAGCGTACATATCCGTTTGGTTCGAGTACATGATATTACAATCGTGTAAAAACGATTTTTCGGTATGGCAAAATGATCGCCGTGTCACCGTCAAACCGTAATGTTGACGAATGCTCTCACTCGCAATCGCGCCCAATTATTTCGGTTTCGGTCGTTTTCGTGCCAACCGCATCACCGTCACGATGCGTCTCACATGCATTGTGTTGCGTACGTGTCCGGCACGAAACAGCAGTTCACCCTCTCTGCTATGCTCGTCGTACCATCACTTCTTCCTATACGACGTGACGTGTTCGAGTGTTTCTTTTTTGTTTTCATTCCGTTCGAACGAAAAACGTTGCCAAAAACGACCGCGGTCGCGCGTTTACCGTGAAATCATGAGAGAATACTTTCGCGTGCTGCTAACCGGCTCTGCTCCGGTCGAACGATGACTAACGGCCGAGTCACGCTTAGCGTCCGTTTTCGATTCGCGGTTTCACAACATTTTTATTCGGTACAAATGGTGTCATTTTTTTTCTTTTTTCGCGTTGGTGCACGCGGAAAAGTATCCATATTCGAACGGGAAAAGCGATAATCTATTCGATATCGTCCCCGAAAAACGTCGACTAAACCATTGATTTTATAATATAAAATATGTTATAAAATCAATGATTAAACCTATCTCAACAATACGCGTTGGCAGCAGACGGTGCGGAACGTAATAACGAAACATATTGTTTACGGATACCTGATGTTGTTTCGTCACACCGTCATATTTAATTGACGTGGCGGCTGACCTAAATGTGTGTGAGTTTACCCACGTTCGGTAGAGTTCATCGTACAAAAATAAAACAAAAATTAGTAAACGGTTAATGCTAGTAAATTACCTGACGTATAAATAAATAGTTTTCACGTAGGAATTAATAAATACATAAACTATTTGTGTGCATAATATTCGTCGTTGTAAAATTAAATCATAAGACAACAATGACGTGTTGTTTGAAGCATGTTTCATGGGGTTTATTCTCACAGTTTCGTGGCTCCCCGTGAGACAAATTGGCGTTTATGTTTTATCAAGAACATATAACATGGGTCGAGTCAACTATAGAAAAGTAATACAAATTTAAATTCTCAAATACTATTCTTATAATTAAAATGTGTATATATATATATATATCTTGAGTTTGGGTAATTAAGGATTTGAGGAAAACGGAAATGAATTTTATAACTTTTCAACGTTAAATGCAATAAAATACGCGGACAAATGTACACCCATTGGTAGGGCAGTTAAAATTTCTTAACTATTTAGACGTTCGGGCGTGCCTTAAAGTCATATTTCATGTCTCCAAAGGCGAATGCGCAAATTCAGTCATTTGTACGAGATTATTTCGCACAGATTAATTCTAATTATAGTTAGGATAGTGGTATTTAAATTATCAATACCGGTATTTATATTACCGGATATACCGAATGGTCACACCTTAATGGTTGTATTGTAACTATAATATATGTTATTTCAAACGTTAATAACGATAATATTCTTTGAAAGTTAGTTTAGTCGATCGTACGTCGCTTTGTCTTCGGAACAGTGAAACGTACGACTTGAAGCACAAAAACGCATGACTAAGTTTTTATCGCACGACTGCCACGTGGACATGTGTTATTCACCGTAGAAAAACGCCACGTTTTACTAGCGTGGATTGAGTAATATTTTAGTAGGGGCTTACATTTTTTTAGTAGAGTATTGATACGGACAAAAAAAACTCGGTACACAGTGGTATTGTATGATGTGTTTGCTGTTAACGTACTCGGACATTTCTTGTAACCGAAAAAAATGCACACAGATCTTTGTCCGTCGGTATCAATATCGTTTAAAAATAATAACTATAGATTCTATATTTTCGAACACCATCGGAGGGCTGTGAACCTCGATTGGAAACCTGTTGCCAGTGTTAAAGAGATAAAAATGTGATCACTCGGGAAAATCGTATGAGTAAATAATAGAGAAAAAAAAAATACTACACTCTCGGCAACGAGAAGAAAACCAGCGGAACGTGCACTTGTTGCGCCACGTGATGACGAGACGCAGGTGTACAGGTTTTCTCCTCGCTGCAGGATCGTCGCAATGTCGTAATGTAATTATCGCATATTCCAAACGTTCGAATTTCGTTTGCGGGGAAATGCGCGTCGCGAGAGGACTTGCGCGAGAGCCATTCCGCAGACCGTCGTAATAATAAATACGTGTGTGAGCACGCAAACCGTTCGTTATTATTATCGACACTCTCGGTGGACACACAAAGTGGTGCGTGTACGTTTAATCAAGTACTTTTACTCTTACGTAACAACAATAATAATGAAATTCCCCTTCTTCTCTCCCCCTCGACGTGTGCTCTCTCTCTCTAGTGTTTGCGAGTCGTCTGGAAATCGCACATACACCGTTGTAGCGACAGCTGGAGAAAAATAAACGCACAATGGCGCGGCGGTTTTTTTTTTCAATTTTTTCGTCGTCGGTTTATACGCTGCACACGGTGTCACGTTATTAGTGGGTACGAGGTTGGATGACACGTTCGTTCGTCCGCCGGTCGTTTTTTTTCGACCGTTACCCGTAGAACACTCGTGCACGGTGGTTAGGTCGGGCACGTCCAGTTAATTATCGTCCTGGGGAAACAAATTTTAACGAAACCTGGTTCGATTCCGTTTGCTAACACACGGCTTATTCTCCCCGCCCATGACTTGATCGCGTCGGTCGACACTGAATAACTGGCGACCGCCGCAATGACTAATAACTTAATAATAAACCCATTAAAATAACTATTTATAGATGTGTGGCCTACAATAACACACTACACCACTGGGCATCCGGATACATGTTAGTCGTTCAATATCGTTAATTTATATTATTATTATTATAAGACGAAGATTTATTAATAGGAAACTCAGTTTCCAAGTGTCCACTGACGTTGGGTACGTATCTTAGATTGCAAAGAGGAAAGGTGAATTGGACGAGGAGACAGAAAATCTTAGGCTCACTTCAAACCTTTAGATCCTCCCTTGATGACGGGTTTCGCGTATAACGCGATGCGTCCGCAGGACTCACCACCGGGTGTGTGCACGAGATCCGACGAGAAACGGAGAATAATCGAAACGCGGAAGGAGATAAAGAAATTACCGCGATCGGAAGATTCTAACCGATGAGATATTTTGTCGTCGTGCGATGACCTAATTCGCGGGCCACGGCGCACACATACACGTCGTATGCGTATTGAAATATTGATCGGCGACCGTCGACGACGACATTACTCAGATCTTCACGAGCCCGTTGCTGATCCGAAGACGTTCCCGATTGGATTGCCGAACTCATCGGAAAAACGAAGAAAATCGCTAAACCAAACCGTGCGCGGTACAGGCGTGTGCATGTTTTTTAGTCTACCGCATCTCAAAACGTTGACACGATGAAACGGGCGCGGTCGCTCGGGCAGCAGACGGAACGCACAAAAAAGTGCATTAAGTTGGTTCTTGAACAGTAGTAGAGAACGTCGTTTCGGGAACACCTCAAAAGCATCAACGATCGCAGCAGCAGCGTACGGACGTTTTCTCGCGACCGCAGATGTCGTCGTCAACGGTTTGTTAGCACCGCGTCGGAACGGATTGGGCGCGCTATGTATCAAAAGGACACGGAGCGAACGACGGCGAATTTGCGCGGATGGAAAATGCGTTCAGAGCGTGTGTAACACAACCGCAACGATGACGAATAGTGACGACGGTGGTGTTGCAGACGACTTAATAATAGAATTATATGCACGGTTCGCGTTTCGATCTCGATCATGGCGACGACTACGGGCGGTGTCGACCACTGTCGGGGTTTGGAAACCCCTGGAATTCGTCGCGACGGGCAAGAGGGCCGGGCGAACCGCGCGGTGCGCGCGTAC